ATTCTATTTATATTTATAGTTTGATGTAACTTCTATTAATATTAATATAACTTCTATTGTTATTATTAATTACCAATTAGTATTTTTTAAAAATACTGAAACTGATCAGTACTTTACTAAAAATTTTAGTTTGGTATTTTAGTTTTAAAATTAGTACTGAAGCTGATAAATCAGTAACAATATTTATTGATACCAATCAGAACTCTAGTTGAGCAAAGCAATAATTCCAGAAGACATGACTTAAGAGAGCAATTAATAATAGAAAACCAATATCTTTTTTGATTAGAAGTTTTCAAGCATAAAGTTTCAAGAAATATATTCCTGAAAGTGCCCTTAAATGTTCTTAAATATTAATTACTTCAATAAAAATTAAACAGTTTGTCTGGCCACAGGTAGTGAAAAATGGGAAACTATGAGGGGCTTGGATTTTAAGTTTATCAAAATAATCTTTTCAATAATAGTTAGAATAGATGATAGCTTTTTTTCTTTTATTTTTGTCAAAAAAATTTTTTTATTCCTTTTTTCCCTTGTGTAGTTTCTACAAGAGGGGGTGATACAATTTGGATTTATAGTTGTGACTATAGAGATAATCTGCAGATTTTGATCCTATCGAAAGTCCGGAATCTTAATCCTATCCTTTAGGGAAACAATATATTACCCCTATAAATCACATCTAGAGGTTTCAGCTATTGACGGGTGAGTTGGGTTGAGAAAATTTGTACCTTGTATGTATTCTTGTATGTGTAATAGTTTTTTATGATTTAATAAATAAATGACATCAACCTGATTGCAAGAAAAAAAAAAACTAATTCATATACTAATTCAATAAATATTAATATTATAATATTAAAAAAATAATATAATATCTATTTTCAGTTAATAAGTTTAATAATTATTTTTTAATATCTTTTTGTAAAAATTTATTAAAAACTTATTTTAACATAATAATAAATTATATTAATATTATTTATTTTAAAAAAATATCTAATAATAAGATTTATATAATAGTAAAAATATAATATTGATTAAATAATAAGTATTAGTTATAAGTTTATTTTAAATATTTTTAAATAATATTAAGAAAAATAAAAAATTAATTAATTAAATTAATTGCAAGTAATAATAAGTATCATTTTTGATAAATTGAAAAACAAATAATTATAAAGATTTTATTTAATTTTTTTAATTTTTTTTTTTATAAATTTTTTTAAAATAAAATCATAAAAGAATTTTAATACAAGTTAATAATAATATTTTGATATATTAGTTTAAACTTTTGTCTTAAATAAGTTAATAGCAATAAGTTAATATATTTGAATAATATAGATTAACTTAAATATTATTTTATTTATAGTATATATAATAAACTTTGTATAACAAACTTTGATAATATATAGTATATACAATATCAATATTAATAAAACAAAATCTAGTAAAAATAAAAAATAAAATTATATTTAGGTTAATATCCAATTTATTATATTGTTTATCTTAATTTATCTTTAAATTTTTGATTGTATTAGAATTTTTAAATAATAATTAAATGAAAATTTAAATTAATTGATTAATATATAGTAAAAAATATAAACAAAATATATGATTTTTATCTGTTTTATCTTATGCAATAAAAAATTTAATAATACTATTGGTTATAGCAAAAAAAGCAAGGTAATAAGATATTAATTTTGTTAAGAAATAATTTGATATTTTATTTTTTTTCTTGTATTGATTTTATTTCTTTTTAATATCAAAAAAAAAAATCTATTTCAATTTAATAAAAAGCTTGTTCTATTATTGATTATCTTAAAAGACATTCAAACAGTAAGGTTAAATAGTAATAAAGTACCATCTTGAATTATATGCCTTTAAACAGTAAATCTTGTCATAAATATATCTTGGATGTTTTTGGTTAACAATAAAATGATAAAAATTAAATGAATCTCCCAGTTGCAAATGGTTAAACTAGAAATTGTTTCAAAAGGATTTTTATATAATTTATTTTTTATCTATTGAAAAACATATTTTTAAAATTTTATATTAATCAAATTTTAATTATTTAATAAAGGATAGTTGTTTAAAAAATTTTTTTAAACAAACTGTAGAATTTTTATTTTATCATTAATATACTGTAAATATTTAATATTACGAGTTTACTGACTTTATATATCTGGTTTCATATTAAATTTCCAAAATTCCAAAATTGGATATTTGTATTGAAATTTAAATCAAATATATATATTTTTTAGATTATTTTAAAATTTTATTACAAATACTTTTTTGCTATTGTTTAGATAAATTGGATCAAAGAAGTTTATTTATTTACTTTAGTTATTCGATTAAATTAATTAACATCTAAATCGCATAATTTTTGAATCAACTTAAAGGCATTTATAATAAGTATTTTATTTGGTATTTACAAAGAGCATGAATTTGCACCTTAAGTCACATATTACATAGGAAGGAATGATCGCGACAACAGTAAAAAAAATAAGGATAATAGAAGTATAACCTTTATTTCGATTTTTCATGTACTGTATATCAGCAACGCGTAACCTTCCTCGGGATGTTTTCGTAATACTACGTTATAACGTCGATTAATAATAAAACTGTGTAAAAGCTACAGCTGAATTTAACGTATCGCGCGTGAGACTGTTACGGTAGAAAAAATATAACAATGACACATGCCTTTTATTTTAAAATAAAGTTCGTTTTTTTTTTGCAAATCGCATACACACAGATACTATGCATACAATTTCGAGATTACACCTACCCTAGTTCAATAAATAAATAAAACTTATGTTCTTTTTTATGTTTTTTACATTCTAATGGTTCGAACGTTCCAAAATGCTTTTGAAGTTTCCTAGAAAGTTGATGTATCATGAATTGATTGTCACAAGTTGTACTTCCAATCGATTGAAATAATATCTTCTGTGTAGTCGATGGAGATATGGGAGGCAATGGTAATGGGAGCACCTGAATTTGTCTAACTTTATTCACTAGTTTCTCATTGATTTCTCTGTTATGATTTATGGAATTTAAACATTCCGTACAGTGCAAATATCCAGAGGTGAAATCAACTTTATTCAACTTTCCTAGTGCGTCTGTATACTCTAAATACCGATTAGTCAATGCGTTACGTGTTTGTATCGAAAGTTCTCGAAACGTACTCTTTATTTTATAATCTGGAAATGTTTCTAGCACTAATTTTGAAGCCTCCTTGTAAATATCTTTAAATAAATACCTGTCGGCTAAATACAATGCGCACAATGGCTCCTTACGGAATTCACGTTCGAGGAATGTTTTTGCAGCCGATACCACCGAATCCATGATGTATTTATCAGCGAGTCGCAGAATTTCGGTAACATTTTTCCAATCGATGGGTAGATAGGTGTTAGGGTATATGTGCGATAAGACATTTTCAAAAGTTAATGCAGATTCTCCTTCTAATGTTAATCCGGTTAGATTACTGCCATTATCATCGGACGATGCTGAAGCGCAGGTGAACATGTCTTGAAAAAATTTAGAGGCTAGAGCCATAATGTTTCTGTGTAGGCAAAACATGGTGTCCTCTACTATTATCAATATATCTCCGTCCGGATAGTAATGTAGAAGGTTTTTCTTAGACATTTTTTATTACCTTGTGAAATCTTATGTGATGAGACCGTTTTTTTTCTATTGGCATAATAAAAAAAGTTGAGCGTAAATTTTTACTTGCTTTATTCTTTTAGCATAATTTAGTGTCATGTGATGGGAGGCGGAATCTGAAACATCTAAAAATACCTATTTTCGTGTAACAAGACATCTTTCCAGCTATAGTGGCGGAACAAACCGAATTGCTAAATTTATCAAGAAAACCAACCATGAATATGCGTTGATTACGAAGGGATGAGTATTATTACTTAAAAAGTTTGTTACTTTTATCTGTTATAAAATTTTTTTAATTGTATGATATAAAAAAAAATCATTTCTAAATCATACCTAGAGATGATTTTATTAGAGATAGATATTCAATTATTACATCTAAAGTTTGTACATAAAAGTAATTTAATAAACTTTATATATACTTGTTTGATTATGAATAAAAAAAAATCAAATAAATATGAATTTTTTAATATTACAATATTTTTTATTGAAATAATTTTTAAATTTTTTGTTATATGCTTATTATAATAATTTTAAAAAACAAATAATATTAAATATAAAACAAATTATAAAATCATAATTAATAACCATAGTATAAAAATTACAATAATTTTTTTTTACCAATTCTTTTATTAATTCAAAATTAGATAGTTTAAAAAACTTTTTTGATTTTTATAATAATAATATATACAGTATGGATCAAAAATAATTGAATAATATATCAATTTTATTTTTGTAATATTTTAACAACTAATTAATAAAATAAGATAAAAAGTTATATTAATATATTTAAGAATATAAAAAACAACTTTACTTAATAAAGTTTTTAAAAATATTATTAAAATTTTTTTAAAAAGAATAATTAATTTTAGTTATATTATAAAATAATAATAATTATTATTATTAAAATTATCTTAATATATAGATTTGTTAAATAAAATAATAATTAATTTGATTTAAAATTTAATTTAATTTTATTAATAAATATAAATTTTATATTAAATATAAAGGTTTTAAAAATTTTAAAGATTTTTTAAAATTAATTTTATATAATAAAAAAATAAACTAATTTTAATAATATTTATTAAATATAATATAATTTTTTTATTAGTTTAAAAATTTTATTCATTTTTATATTTGATTTTTTAAAAATTTTTTTATAAAAAATATTTTATATTATTATTATTTTTTAAAGTAATCAAGTACAAATAAATACAAATACTTTATTTTTTTTTAAAAAAAATAAATATATAAAGATACATGACTTTATTAATACATAATATTTAAAAAAAATATTAAGTATCTTCTATATACAAAGTACATATTAATAATTATTACTATTAAATGTTTTCTACATATATAGAATTAATATTATCTAGTAACTATTTCTAATATTAACTTATTTATCTATCTTACATCAGGAAATTTTTGAATAAAAATCTTCAAAGATCTTCAGGTGTAGATCTCCAAAGGACCTCTGTTGTTATTAAAGACTTTAGAATAAAAATTAATATATTAAACTTCAGAGATCTTCAATTTAATTTAATAATATTCAATTTTAAATTTATTGGCTTATAAAATTATTATTATTATTATTTAATTCTTGTTTATATTTATTTATTGTTCTGAATTATTCTCAGTATTTTCATATTTTTCCAGATTATCTTTTATAGTAATAATTTGTGAATCAGTCATTTTTTCATCTTTACTATTTGAATTTTTTTCTTTGAATCCAAGTCTTTTTTTAATTCTCTTCTAAAAATATTATTAACAATAATTTATAATACTTTGAAAATTTTTAAAACTTACCTTATTTTTTTCTATTTTGCTTTTAATTAACATTTTATATTTAAAATACTTTTATTATTTGAATTAAGAACTGTTTAACATATTACAATAATAAATACTATTTGTTCCTCAGAGGCATCTTCCTTTGGTCAGACTTTTTCGAGAATATGGACTATCATGCTTTGTGTCTCTTCTCTTGGATATTTGTAAAGGTTTTTAAAATATTCAATAGTCTTCTGAGATTATTTTCAAGTTAAAATATTGGCAGTAATTGCACTTATATTTATTGTATTAAAAAATTCTTCACCAAAAACCAAAAATATGACATTACAAATTTTTGAAGCCATGATCTCGTAAAGTAATTGATACTGTTTCATGAGCTTTTAAAACAATAAGATATTTAATAACTGAAGAACTAAAGTTATTAATATTTATAAGAACTACTGCTTGATAAATATGTTTTTCATAATATGTTTTTTAATGTTTTCTTGTGAAGCCTTTGTAAAACTCTAAATGTTTTTGCTAAAAAAATTTCTTGATTGTTTGGCAATAATCTTCATAGTCTGGATATATTTTTTCAAAAAATACTTTTTTTGCAATATTTTTAACCACATGCTATTTAAATAAAATATAAGTTTTCAAAGACCTTTGAAAAAATTCAAAATGAATTTTATCTCAATAAAATTATATTTGATAATTAACTGTTGATTTGTGTGAATTTCATTTTCTAAGCAGGTAACCTTATCCT